CATGAATTTGCATTGAAAAGATTCACATACGGAGTACTTAAGCCCACAGGGTTCAGTTGCATTATGATTCCACTTTGACGTGCAAGTTTTCTTTATAACTGACAATATTAAAGAACTTAAGGTGTAAGGAACTTAAAGATCAAAAGGTGTACACCCTATTGATTTGATGTAAAATATTTTCAATGAAATTGTGAAATGCATATTTTCAAGCGGTGTCAAAACCAAGAAACACTTACATTAAACAAAGATCAAAATCTCAACCTCATTTGGTTTCCATGTTCTCCTTCTTCCTTTACTCAGCTAATCTTATTGTTAGGACTGTCATCTTCCAATTCTAAGACATTCTACAACTGTGTTTCCCCCTATTCTTAGAATCTTAGATAAAGCAAGAAATTTCTAGTATGTATACATGCATTACTCCCTCCGCTATACAATGATATTTTTGTTTGGAATCTTTGACCTTTTAAAAAAAAATGTTCTAAATTTCTCTTAATCTATAAGAACAAATATAGTCATGTTGGATCTAGTTTGATTCGTCTTGATGAGTAGATCAATAGGAACATCATTCTAAAACGGATGGTGTATTAAACAAAAAAATGTTCAGTCAGGTATTTATTTAGGTAGCGGTTAATGATAATGGTGGTCGTAAGACCGGTAACGTTTGGATATCATTAAACAATCCCTCCTCATTTTTTAAATGCATCACTTGCATTAATATGGAGTTTTAGGAGTGTTTATATGCTCTAAGCCTATAATTTTATATTGTGTAAGTGGGATATATAAGTGATGATTAATTAATTTTGATAATAATACATTGCGGATCATAAAAGAGATAGTATGTGAAATTGTGAGTCTTTTAATCATTAAAGTAGGAAACATGAAAAATAGAGAAATGATAAAATATTTTGTACTTGTATGTAGAGTTGTTAATTCGGGTAAACGGGTCGGGTAAGAGTGGGCGGGTCAACTCGGGTCGGGTCAATTCAGATTAATTCCATAATCTACACAGGTCGGGTTTGGGTTGGGTCATGCTTGAGTCGGGTCACGTCGAGTCATACTTCTTATCGGGTTTGGGTCGGGTTTAGGTCGGGTTAATAACAGGTCGGTTTACATTCGATCGGGTGAACAATAGGTCGGTTTAATTCGGGTTTTCACGGGTTAAAACGGGTTACGGTAATTCTCGGTTTCGAGTCGGGTTCGGTTCAAGTTAATAATTTGCGGGTTAGAATCAGGTCGGGTCATTCTCGGGTTTGAGTCGGGTTCGGTTCAAGTCGATAATTTGCGAATTATAATCAGGTCGGGTCATTTTCAAGTCGGGCCATTCTCAGGTTCAAGTCCGGTTCGGTTCAAGTCAATAATTTGCGGGTTATAATCAGAATGGGTCATTTCCAAGTCGGGTCATTCTCGGATTCAAGTCGGGTTATGTTCAAGTCAATAATTTGCAGGTTATAATCAGTTCGGGTCATTTCCAAGTCAGGTCATCATATTCGGGTTCAACTAACTATAAATAGATAATTATCATTTTTATCAAGCTAATTATTTCCTTTGACTATAATATATATGGCAATATATTAGGGAACTATAGTATATAATTTAGGAAGATAATTATCTCCTTTGACCATACAACAAATATATACTATATTTAACTCTTAAATTTGAGGATGATGCTCCTTTCTTTTGCTGGCCTAGACCGACTTGGTCTCCCAAGCTAGACAAAATGCTTTGATCAACAATATATAATAATATGGTTTAATTTGTATTTAAGGTGATGTGAAATCGGGTTAGGAACAAATTGGGTTGAATTTAGGTCGGGTCAATAACAAGTCGTGTTAATTTCGAGTCAGCTTAGTAATAGATCGGGTTGAATTTTTAGGTTGGGTAAGTAATAGGTATGGTAAAATTAGGGTCGGGTCAATAACAAGTCGGATTAATTTGGGTCAGTCCAGTAACAAGTCGGGTTGATTTCGGGTCGGGTTTGTAACAGGTTGGGTTAAATTCGGGTTGAGTTAGGAACGGGTCGGATTGAATTCAAGTCAGGTTAGTAACAAGTCGGGTTAAATTCGGGTTTTGACGGGTTAAAATGGGTTTGAGTCAATTTCGGTTCAAGTCGGGTACGTTGCAAGTTAATTAAATTGGGCGATGTATGTAAACCGGTAAATTGATTCAAGTTGTAAACCGGTAAAATGGTCGTTTAAAAGCAAATTGAATAGTTCTACACACCCAATTGGACTTCCGGAGGGTATTAAGGACCATGGTAAACATTTCGGAAATTTTTTTATTTCCGGGCGAAAAAAAAGTCAAAAAATTCCAAAAATGAAGGTTAATATCTACACTTTTTTGACAAATTTTGGAAGTTTCGGGGCCCGGTGCCAAAAAATTTTGAAATTCTATGGGATACATCTCGAGGTCATATAATGTCATTTGGAACCATTTATGATCATCATTTGTTGTCATAAATGTTCGTGGTATGCTTGAATGAATGAAATCGGTGCAAGTTGTAAACCGATAAATTGATCGTTTAAAAGCAAATTGGATAGTTCCATCCACCTAATTGGACTCCCGGAGGGTATTAGGAGCCATGGGAAACTTTTCGGAAATTTTTATTTCGGGCGAAAAAAAATAAAAAAAGTTCAAAATTAAAGGCTAATATCCACGCTTTTTGAGAACTTTTTGAGGTTTCGAGTCCCAGTGTAGAAAAGTATTAATATTTTAGGGGATACATCTCGGGGTCATATAGTGCCGTTTTGAACCATATATGATCATTATATGTTGTCATAAATGTTCGTAGTAGGCTTGAGTTAATGAAATCCGTGCAAGTTGTAAACCGGTAATTAAATTGGCTGTTTAAAGGCAAATTGGATGGTTCCACCAACCCAATTGGAATCCCGGAGAGTATTAGGGACCATGGTAAACATTTCGTCAATTTTTATTTCCGGGGGAAAAAAAGTCAAAAAATTCTAAAATTGAAGACTATATCCACGCTTTTTAAGAAATTTTAGAGGTTTCGGGGCCAAATGTCAAAAAGTCTTGAAATTTTAGGGGATATATCTTGGGGTCATATAATGCTGTTTGGAACCATATATGATCATTATTTGTTGTCATAAATGTTCGTGGTAGGGTTGAGTTGATGAAATCGATCCATATTGTAAACCGATAAATTGGTCGTTTACAGGCAAATTGGATGGTTCCACCCACCCAATGGGTCTCCCGGACGATATTAGGGATCATGGTTTAAAATTCGGCAATTTTTATTTTCGGGCGAAAATAAAGTCAAAATTTTCAAAATTGAAAGCTTAATATCCACGTTTTTTGAGAAATTTTGTAGGATTCGGGGCCCAGTGTTGAAAAGTATTGAAATTTTAGAGTATGCATCTCGAGGTCATTTAATGGCGTTTGGAACCATATATGATCATTATTTGTTTTCATAAATGTTCGTGGTAGGCTTAAGTTAGTGAAGCTAATTTTTATCATTTTTATCAAGCTAATTTTTTCCTTTGACTATAATATATATGGCAATATACTAGAGAACTATATTTTATAATTTAGGAAGATAATTATCTCCTTTGACCATACAACAAATACTACGTATTTACTATATTTAACTCTTAAATTTGAGGATGATGTTCCTTTCTTTTGCTGGACTGACTTGGTCTCTCTAGACAAAATGCTTTGATCTATCAACAATAATAAGGTGGTCTAAATTGCATTTAAGGTGATTTGAAATCAGGTCAGGAACAATTTGGGTTGAATTTAGGTCGGGTAATAACAAGTCGGGTTAGTAACCAATCGCGCTGAATTTTTTGGTCGGGTTAGTAATAGCTCTGGTAAAATCCGTGTCGGTCAATAACAAGTCAGGTTGAATTAGGATCAGGTCAATAACAAGTCGTGTTGATTTCGGGTCGGGCTTGTAACAGGTTGGGTTAAATTCGGGTCGGGTTGAATTCAGGTCAGGTTAGTAACAAGTCGGGTTAAAATCGGATTTTGACGGGTAAAACGAGTTTGGGTCAATTTCGGTTCAAGTCGGGTTCGGTTCAGGGCAATAATTTACGGGTTACATTCGGGTCGGGTCATTTTCAGGTCAATTTATGTTCGGGTTCGGGTCTCACATACTCGGGTCTAGGGTTGGTGTCAGGTCGGGTTTGGGTCACCATTTTTTCGGGTTCAGATAGGTCGGTTAATAATCAGGTTTGAGTCGGTATTTCGGGTCGGATCAACTTTTGACAGCTTTACTCGTATGTAGTTTTAGAGAAGAGAGATATAATAAACATATTACATATAATATAAAGCTACTAAATATATAAGTGATGCATTTAAAATTTTTTTTTTAAAAAAAACCACATAAAATGATACATTAAAAAAAGGGAGTACAATGCTAAGTAACGTCTATTAAATAATACTCGTTCTTTTAATTTCCATTAATATATATATATATATATATATATATATATATATATATATATATATATATATATATATATATATATATATATATATATATATATATATATATATATATATATATATATATATATATATATATATATATATATTCGGTGTTTAAATAGCCACAAGGGCGGGGTGAGAATCGATTCCAAAATCTCCTCAAATCGGGAGGGAAACTCTTACCACTTCAGCTATCCCTCACTTTCAAAAATAAATATGATCAAGTATAACTTGTTTTAGTGGTCAAGTTTACATCTTAACATTTTAAAGGTGGAGATTCACCTAAATTTCTCCCTACTTTTAAAGTATCTAGCCCGCTAATTTCTCACTTCGTTATATTTATTACATTTACATGTGTCCCTTGTATGAAAAGATCTCCTAGTATAGAATACGCGTATTTTCCTTACCTTAAAAAAGAAAATACATGCCCACTCTCAAAAGTCATAATCAATGATGTACCATGTCCGCATGTCGTATACTTGCAACAATCCAATTTTGCAATTTGCAATATTGCAATAATGATACTTATATAGTTGTATATGGATAATGGATTACTCGTAGCTTTTAGCCATCTTGAAAGTTCCAACCTTTGAAAGAAAATCCTAGAATTTCATTTTATCTTGACTTCAATTTTTAATTTCATTTTTAAACGCACATTTCCAGATTCTTCCACCTCATGATCCTCCCCTAACACCGCCTTCACAAATCACAAGAACTTTCGTTTCGCTTTCTCTCTCCTTAAAACCCACCAAATTCTCTCTCTTTTTACAGGAAAACACAAACCCAATTACCCAGGAAAACCCGATTAAACCCCCTGATTTTCTCTCTCATTAAAAACAAGCAAGAAACTTAGAAATCATGTGGCAATCTGGGAAAAATGATCTTGAAGGAGGATCAACACAACTTTATCCTGTGATGCTTGAAGACCCAAGACTTCGATGGAGTTTTATTCGAAAAGTTTACTCAATTATCGCAGTACAATTGCTTGCTACCATTGTTGTTGGTGCTATTGTTGTTTCGTATAAACCAATTGCTCATTTCTTTACTTCTAGTAGTGGTGGTCTTGCTTGTTATATCATTCTCATCATTACCCCTTTTATTGGTAATTTTTGTTCAATCCCTTTTATTGGTTTTCTGCGATGTTTGTGATTTTTATTGTAATTTGGTTGTATTGTTGGTGAATTGAACTGGGTATTTGTTTAATTTTTCTGGGGTTCTTTTGATTTTTTTGTTGGGGGATTGAATTGGGTTAATTGCTGTTAATTTTTGATTTGGCTTTGGTTGAGTTATTAAAGGAATTGGCATCATTTCTTATATTTCGTTGGAATGCTAGACTAATTGTTGGATAATGATTCGTGGGTTGATTAGCATTTTTAGTAACTTTGTTGCAGATGAATTGGGTGGGGAATTGTATGATAATTATGTATCTTATGTTACTCTAAGTTGGAAATGCGCTTATTTTGATGATTTTGCTATATGATTGCTTGTTTTAATTGATATAGTGTGAATTTTAGTTGATGGTTTGGTTGGGAATGTGATTATTATGATGATTTTATCAAATTAATTACTCAATTTATTGTGACTTTTTTTGTTGAAGAACTGTTTAGAATGTTAAGACTTTCATGGTGTGGCTAATTGGTTTGATTATTGTGTTGCAGTGCTATGTCCATTGTACTACTATCATCAAAGTCACCCGGTGAATTATTTGCTGCTTGGGATCTTTACTATCTCGCTTGCCTTTTCCATTGGGCTGACATGTGCATTCACTAGTGGTAAGTTTTCCTCACCCATTTCGTATCGTTTCATTTATAATAGTTTTCCTTGATGTGATTGTGGGTTTTCTGATCAAATCCTTGCCTTTGTTTGAGTATCTGTAATAGGTTAAATTTGTGGTAATCATGGATGACTTTCTTGCAAGCAACCATTATTAATTATTCTTTGCTGTCTTAATGGTTCAATGTACTCCATTGCACAGTTTTGAGAATCTGATACTGGGATTTTGGGACAGTAAAAATGAAATTTTCAATTAGATGAACATGTAGACAGCATATATACCCTCACATAGTCACATTGCTACTTATTATTGTCCAAGTGAATGAATTCATATCTCGGTAGCTAACTGTTCAAACTTAACTTGCTGGTGCTATAACATGTAAACCGATGTTTTGGCATGGTATCCTGGATTCCTAGCAATGCTTACGCTTATAAAGTACAGTATGTGTGGTTTGTTGTTGGTTATTATTTGCGAGCTTGTTTGGTTAAAGATAATACCATCTATGGTCGTTCTGGTCTTATAAAGTGTGCATTGAAACAAGTGATGACATAAAAAATATAGGAGGTTTCCATGGGACAGAGTTTAATGCTAGAGACCGTGATTGAATGTGTTAGCTGCCAACCTTTTACCAGACTTATGTTTGTTGCTGGTTCGTCCAAGTTATTGTCTTTTTTATCTAAATTCTGTTTGGCAATTTGTTCTGGTTGTGGCAAACTTACTTTCTGAATAAGTCATTGCATGTGATATTGTGATGCAAGAAACTAGCCTAACTTGGCATGCTGAAGCTCACTAAAACTTCTAAAATGGACAGGGAAAGTTATTTTGGAGTCTGTGATTTTGACGACTGCAGTGGTTCTAAGTCTCACTGCGTACACATTCTGGGCAGCAAAGAGAGGCCATGACTTCAATTTCCTTGGTCCCTTCTTGTTCGGGGCTTTGATTGTGCTGATCATATTCTCTTTGATTCAGGTAGAATGCTCTTTACCTTCTAAATAGCTTATTGCATGTGATCCAATGTTTGTTTGTTCAACATTCTGAAAATGCTATATTCTATAATTACAGATATTCTTTCCATTGGGCAAGATTGGTGTGATGATCTATGGTTGTGTGGCATCCATCATCTTCTGTGGCTACATTGTTTATGACACAGACAACCTCATCAAGCGATACACCTATGATGAGTATATATGGGCTGCTGTGGCATTGTATCTCGACATTATCAACCTCTTCCTTTCTCTGCTGACAGTTTTCAGAGCTGCTGACAGTTAGGCGAGAGAACTTTAAACTTTTGCCATTGTGCCTATTAAAAAAAAATGTTAACCACTTTGTAAGTACATAGCTATTTTGTTATTCTAGCAGGAGAAAAATTGTACACGAATTTCTTTTCCAATTTATACTGTTGTCATTTTATGTTGTATAAAATGCATTCAATTGTGAAGCAAGTTCATCTTGTCTTTTTGATGCATTGTGTTATTTTTAGGCCTTTACTAAGGAAAGGGCGTTAATAAAGGATGTATTTTGTCGATGTTGGTAATGCCAGATTTGGTAGATGGTGTCACTGAAAGGGAAACGCTGTTGGACAATTGCTAGCAGCCTAGTATTGTGTGTTTTTTATGCTTTTACTCAAACTAATCGACTGCAGAAATTTCCTTCCAGCTGACTAAGATTTCTGATGAAGAATTCCCAATTATTGTATGATATGCTTGCAGATTGTGAAATATAAGAGAGGAACAACTAGCTGCAGGAACATTATGCCTAGTTCTAGGCTAGTTAGAAAAACCTTATACTTGTTGATTACTTGCCTTGAACTAGGCGTAATGTTTCTTGCCTTCGTAAAGTAAGATTCTTCTATATTGCTCTAATAGATTATTAATATTCAATTATTATATTTTTCACTAATAAACAAATGTTTATAATTAAAGTGTTTCTTTAATAAACGTGCACAGTCTAAATGGGAAGAACATTTGGGGACGGAGTAGCTTCTATATATACTCCATAGTGTTAGATTATCGTGTTATTAAGGATGAGGATTACTACAATACATACTTCACATAAGTATTTAATAATGTGAATAAATCTAAGCACTTGTACTAGGTATAACCGTGTAATATATATTCTATATATATATAATGTCCCTTGAAGTCGAATTTAAAGCTCAATTAAGCTTGAGAAATTTGAGCTACAAAAGGCAGCAGTCAACTCAAGCTCACATGTGAGTTGCTCATGGTGCTGTGTAACTTGAGACAAACATCAAAATATGGACAGAGACTATATTTGAAGCTTTAGCTACATAGGATTTATAAAGAGCTAAGGGTACCTCAAAATTCATCCTTGCCTTCCCACAACACTTAATTCACTTAAAGCCTTCATACATTATGAACACCATATCAACAAAACGAAGCAAAAAAGATCTGACCAAAATAGCTTACTCTATCTGTATTAGCTCTCATACTTTAAGTCCATTCGTCTAATTCCAGTAAATATTGTTTCTTGGACACGCATTGGTTTTCTTCTTTTCATTGACCAAGGAGAGCAGCCTTGAGACACCCTGAGTCCATACATCGTACTCCTGCTGACTCTTACACTCAAACTCGATTACTCTGTGTGTGGCTGTCTTTAGCCCAAAGTAACGTCGTTTTTCTCCTCCAGATTCAATGGACCTCCTCTCTGGCCATACTGGCAAGTCTTTGCAAACTTCCATCAGTATCTCTGTCATAAATCACACAATAAATCTCATCATTAATTAGTGATTCACTAGACATCTAAATTCAGAAGACACCATTTACCAGTACTATAAAAATTCAGTGTTGACTTCTGCAATAAATTTTAATCATAGAGGAATATGCAGAGCACAAATAGGGAGAAAAAGGAGGGTGAAGTACTTTTTTTCTTCTTGGTAATTCCTGTTACATGTCTACTCTTCATTTTGAGCACAACCTGCATGAGAATAGAAACACGATTAGGAAAATGACTAACAAGTGGAAGAAAATGGACAGCCATAAGTGCGCAAAGTATGGTTGGTGCACCCGGTTAAACAAAAGAAAGGCGGAAAGAACATTAGGTGTATGAAAAAGAACATTTAGTTTCTTGAAAAAGAACATGTTTGGTTTTAACAAAGAACATGCATTACTAAAGAACATAAAGACATTACACAAAGAACATGATGAAAACTTTATTAAATTTCATGAAAAATAACATATTAACGTAAAAATTCTCTACCAAAGATTTCAGTTTCCCAAAAATAGTTTTTCTCTCTCCAAAGATTTTAACTTTCCATAATAATTTTAATTTTCTCTCTCTAAAATTATTTTCAACTAAAAATAATTCAAGATTTCATTTTAAAATTAAATTTCAAAATTTAAAATAACATATGTTAAAAGAACATAAGTTAAAGAACATACGTTAAAGAACATAAGTTAAAGAATATACGTTAAAGAACATACGTTAAAGAACATAAGTTAAAGAATATACGTTAAAGAACATACGTTAAAGAATTCATTATCTTAAAGAACATACGAGCCATCTTTCAAAAAAAAAAAAAATTAAAAAAATACGAGCCAAATTCAAAGAACATACGAACCAAAAAGAACATATTTTGTATTATTGAAAAGCATGTTATCAAACATATATACTACGTATGTATGTTTGTCAAACACAAACATGTTCTTTTGCCAAACACAAGTATGTTCTTTTTCAAACACTAGTATGCATGTTTTTTTTCAAAAACTAGCATGTTCTTTTTCTAACGCTAGTATGTTCTTTTTTTTTCCCATGTTCTTTAAAATACACCTAATGTTCTTTCCGGGTACACCATGTGCATGGTGCACCCGGGTGCACTATAGTATTTTCAATAAGTGCGGGTTTTGAAAGAATTTAACCTGGCCTGTTTTGTCGATGTATACTGAGACAACTTTCCAGTGAAGATCACCTGGTAAAACAAATGAAATAATTCAATCAATAACTTTAATTACTGATAAGCTTTGATTAAATCTAGCCAGAGAAGCTGAAATTACCAGTTCGAGTGCGTTTGAGAAGCTCGGAGCCCCTGGCAAGTAGTTCTTCATTGCATAAACCAAGAAAGTTTTCACCTTGCAGATCAGGCTCGCCATTGTAGCTACCATTTCGACTGTGCCTATTCTCACCTTTTATACCTTTCTCGACGGGTAAGACTGCTGCTATATTACATACTTCTTTCATTGTCCTTGCCTTCAGAGTTGCTGCCCCTCTTAAAGCTGCATTATGCATATAGCATGTCATGATTTGTAAAAAGCAATCTCCTCATATAATATGCACTTCTACGCATACACTCTTTCTAATGTTATATAAAAAAAATATCGTTGCTACAAGGTAATACTCCCTTGATCCTAACTAGGAAGCCAATTTTTTTTAGGCCATCTCAAAATAATAGGCCTTGGATGACAAAATGACTTCCTAAATTAATTATATACATTCCATTAATTTTCCGTGGCATTGATTTTAGCAAATTTGATATTGCAATCCATCAGTAATTACTTCAATTTGTCAATAGCTATTACATGATCACATCAATTTCCCACACATATAATCTCATTTTCCAAGCTACACTCCAATACTGAGAAATGAATTAACTGAATTTGTAGGAATAAAGAACAGAAACACTCTAACCTGTTGCAGCAGCAGCAGTGAGAGTCATGATATCGCCATGGGATTGAACATTAACAGCAGAACTAATTACAGTAGCCAACTGTTCTCTCTCTGCTCCCATTGCCTCAGCAGCCTCCACACACCGTGCAGCCACCAAAGTAGCAGCTGAAGCCATTGCCATGTCAGTCTGCTCTGCCTGTTCATCCTTCCCAGATGATCCAGATGCTGCAGCAGTTGCAGCCGCAGTTGCTGCCACAGCTGCAGCAACTGCAGCCACGGAAATTGCTGCATGGAGTTGTGCATTGTGCACTCGCAGCTCCTCTTTCTTTTTCTCACGCCTCTCCTTCAGCCACCTTCCTACTGTCTTACCCCCAACAGAACCACCAGCACAAGGAGTGGTACCACCACTTCTAGGACCCACACGGATGGGAGGTAAAAGAGGTTGTGGGGTACTACTGTTATTCAGATACTGCAAACATTGATTGTAAACAAGTAGTCACAAGGTTAAATAAACTAAACAATTTTCAGTACATAATTCTAGTAATGGAATTTCTCAAATTTTAAGTAGCAAAGGGAGTAGATACAAGAAACAAGTCAAAGTGGATTGTCCTACACTTGCACTTCCTAGTTACTCTTTAAACAATCAGGTTGTCCTCTCTGTACATGATACAACGCAGCCCTTAGCTTCATTTTCAGAATATTACCAAAAACAAAATGAAATGATCAAGTTTATAGCATTTGTTCGTTTTTAATACGAAGTACTCAAGACATAACCTATGGCATCAAGCATAAAATACAAAAACTCAAAATGTCCATGGCATGTAATGGAAGTTATGGAACAGGTACTAAGCAAGCTCATTTATGATGCTAGTAAAGTCTAGTACATCCGTATATTAGGCTAAGTGCTTTTTTATTGGCCTTTAGGGGAAGGGAGGGAGGGAGTAGGGGAGGAGGCATCACATGCTAGTCACATACTAATTTCCTTTATAGCAAGCTTTGTTAAAGGTCTTATAAAAGCTCTTTGGATATGAGTCTGTAACATCAAAAATTGAAGGGCAAGTTTTCTTTCACTTTTTTCTTGGTTTGAGAATGTGTCACTTTCTATTTACCATAGAAAAAAAAAAAAAATCCTTTTGTAGCAAAGATAGCAGAAATTGTTCAAATGAAGATTGGATTTTAAAATTTTCAAATTTGCACATTACCTAAAAGCCAAGACTAATGAGAGAAGCACTACTAAACTACACTGCCAAGATCCCAAAAACAGACAAAAAATAATGGCCTACATTAAATAACACAATAAATAGATAGTTTTCAGTTGGGCACTTGGGGTGATTTTCTAGATTGATCATGTCAAAATCATTTCTCACCTACTCAGATAATGAAATTACATGAAAGGGGGATGTTAGTAACTTAGTTTTGTGTAGTACGAATGAATTGCGTCTGTTTAACAAAAACCTATGCAGATCTTACGCTCAAATAATGAAATGGTTGCACTTAATCAGTCCATCCCACAATGATTGTCACAAACTCGTTTATTTGTTTATTTTAGAGTTTATCAATTCGTAAACACACAAATACAGGATATTACACACTTTACACTTCAAAACTAATGAATACAGAGTACAATTTTAATTATACACTAGACCCCATTTGGAATTCACCTTGTGAAAAGGGTAAAATATGGGGACATGGTAACTTTCACAAGTCAATTATCAGAAAACCAGTCAGTGATATGCTACAAGTACCTTGCAGTCTTGCACAGACTTCCTACAATTAGTGCATCCAGGAAAGAGTAAAAAAGCTGACAGTAAAATATGGACTGTAAAAATAACGACCATTCAAAACATGCTAAAATTTCACCTATAGATCTAGTAAGAAAGAGAAACATTTCAGCTAAAAAAAACTAAACCCAACAATATTTCCCCAACTACCTTGGTTGGTTGATCTTATTAAGACTTTTAATTGGCACCAATTAACTGTTATTTAATTTTTATATTAATTACATTTACTGTACATACACTGTTATATATATAAATAAAAAAGGCGAAAATTCTTTCAGGAAAAAAAAAAAAAAAAAGAGCTAAGAAAAAAAAAATGGTGCACCCAATCGCAGAAGCGAACGAGAAGAGCCCTTTTGGCTCACTTTCACCGGAAGAGTTCTACGCAAAGCACTCAGTGAGCCACTCATCCGAGTACATCACCAACTCCCGAGGCATGAAGCTTTTCACCCAATGGTGGACCCCACTTCACGGTGAAAAACTTGGGTTAATCTGCGTCGTCCATGGTTACACTGGCGAGTCAAGCTGGACCGTCCAACTCACCTCCATCCATTTCGCCAAAGCCGGTTTTATTGTTTGCGCCATTGACCACCAAGGCCACGGCTACTCCGACGCGCTTGATGGGTACGTGGCTCACATCCCCGATATCGAACCCGTGGTTGATGATTGCATTTCGTTCTTTGATGCGTTTCGTGAGAGACACACGCCGGGGTTGAGGTCGTTTATGTATGCGGAATCGCTTGGTGGGGCGATCGCGTTGTTGATTGCGTTGAGGAAGAAGCGCGTAGGGGGGAGAGTGGTGGGGGGTTTGATGGGTTAGTGTTGAATGGGGCTATGTGTGGGATTAGTCAAAAGTTTAAGCCACCTTGGCCTTTGGAACATCTTCTTGGGTTAGCTGCTACGGTTTTGCCTACTTGGCGCGTGGTTCCTACTCGTGGTTCTATTCCTGATGTGTCCTTTAAGGTTTGGAACTTCTCATTCACCCTCTGTCTAATTTCTTGTAATTTTTTTTTGTTTGGGTGTTTGTTATTAATTAATTATAAAACTGGTTTTAAAATTAAAAAAAAAAAATAATTATAAAACTTGTAGGACATAAATTACATATTGCAGTTCTTTTTTTATTTTTTTTGAAGGCCATATTGCAGTTCATATGTAATCATAATTAATTAATATTGATATGCAGAGTAAGACCCTAATCTCTTCACCAGTAAAAATAATTTCAGTTATGTAAAAATAATTTCAGTTCAGTAAAAATAAGTTCAGTTGAATAAAATTTCGTTTTCTTAAAGAAGAATTATAATATAAAATCAGTAAAAATAATTCAAGTTCAGTAAAAATAATTTCAGTTCAGTAAAAATAAGTTCAGTTCAGTAAAAATAATTTCAGTTCAGCAAAATTAAGGTGAATCAAACAGGGCCTAACAATTATAGTACTTTCAATTTCAAATACAATGTATACTAATATGTAGTATATAACAATTGTAAAAACCAATTTAAAATTGATAAACAAATAAAAACATTAGTCATTTCCAATTACAATCATATTTGTTCACCTTATTTTCAAATGTTATAGGAGAAATAAGTTTTATAAGTTAATAAAAATTAAGGACTAACTAGTTTAGTTGAAGTGAGTGTAAACCAAGTTAATCATGCACCCAAAAAAAAAAAAATTAAAGCTAGAGTATTGCTTGGTAAATAAAAAAAGAAAAAAAAATCCAAAATGGACGGATGATCTAGTTGGAGTACCCACATTCATTAATATGTAGGTCATCTCTATTGACTTTAGTACAACAAGCTCTCATTATATAGTCAATAAAGATACTTAAACCTGCTTATTCACTTTTATTTACTGGAAAACTCTAATTGTCCTTATATGTTTCGTGCTCCCCACACGTTGGTCTAATGTCTAATGTATCCTTAAGGTGGAATGGAAGCGTAAGCTAGCAATCGCGAGCCCAAAGAGGTACATGGGGAAGCCACACGCTGCCACGGCATATGAGCTGATGAGGATATGCAGGGAGGTTCAAGGAAGATTTGAAGAAGTGGATATTCCACTGCTGATCATTCATGGTGGAGACGACGTTGTATGTGACCCAGCATGCGTAGAGGAGTTGTATCAACGCGCCTCTAGCAAGGACAAGACACTGAAGATCTATCCGGGTATGTGGCATCAGCTAGTTGGTGAGTCTGAGGAGAATGTTGAGCTTGTCTTTGGTGATGCTTTGGACTGGCTCAAGTCTAGAGCTTTAGGTAGCAAGTGATCAATATCAAATTGTTTAGTTCTATCCTAAATGGTATGTTTGAACTTGGACTTCTTATTGTGTGCAAGTTTTCGAAATTAATAAAATGGACTCTAAATTATAATAAAGGTGTAAAATTGGTCTCTTTATCCGGAAAGAATGTGATAAATAATCAAGAAAGGGTGATCAATCTAGATATTGGGGATTTTAGTTCTAATGATTAGTAAAATTAAAAACTCTAATAGGTGATATTCAAAACCTACAAATCCCAAAAACCGCTTATAGAGTATAGACCTCAAGGCCACCTCATGAAACATGTTAGAATTCTTTATAAAGAAAAAGAAAGGCTGGTACTATTTATTGTCTTATTATTGGCTTTTTTCCCTTTGTAAAATTTTTAAAAGCAAAGATTAGTCAAAAAAGGGAGGGAAATCCTTTTACCACGTAAAAAATGAGCCAAACAAGGAAAAAGATTGGTCACTCTACTTTTCCAGTTTTCCTTCTCTGTCTCCTTTCTTACCCTTTTGAGAATCCTTTTCCTCGTATTCAGTTTGAATGCAGCAATAATAAACAATAGTTCAAAGTAAAAGCAAGTTTAAACAAAGAATTTAACCCTAATTAAGTAGTAAAAAAGAGCACTAAATCATTTAGAGTCATAAGAATAATGATGTGCCAATTTGTCCACACTCTGCCTCCCTTTAGAAAAATTTGTCTTCTTTATACCTTGACTCCGGTTTAATAGAGAACATCTACGATAAAAGTGATTTCGAATTGAAAATTTTCTTAGCAAACATACAATTGCAAATTAATTCTCCTTCGTTTGGTTCTTTAAAATTGAAGTAGTAGAGAAAAAAAAACGAAAAACGAAGCAAAAGGTTGAGATGGATGGAAGAAGGCAAAAAGGGGGAGTAAAGATGAGAGGGAAACAAGCCTTCTTCCTTACAAAAGGGAAAGAAATATCAACTAGGATCTCCTTTACAAACCAAACAATAGAAAATCATTTTGCCGAAAAATAATTTACACCCAAAGAAACCCTCTCTTTACGCGAGTTACTAACTTTTCGAGATGGAGAGAGTACTCGTATCAATTTACTCAATGCAACCCATGGGTGAGTAGCTAACAGTACAGTAATTTCTTGGAGCTACATTGCACGGAGTGAGTATACAAGACCATGCAATACAGAACCAAGTTAAGGGTTCAGAATCTAAGAAAAAATTGATTTTACCCAAACCAATTAGAGGGGCCTATGGTAAAGAAGGAAAAGGATAAAAAAGTTACAATCACTAAACAATGCTATAGAAAGACCTACTCTATAATATTGGGAAAAAAAATAAAGTTAGCATTGAAAGAAACAAAAGCAATATCTCCATATTACTGTAAAAAAAGCGTACTAACAATAACAACAATCATAACTGATAGACCCATTGAATAGAGGACAACCTAAAAAGTAAGCGTCAAATTTGGGAGAATGGAGAAGCCTCAGGAAACAAAGCTGACATCTCTCTACTCTCTGCAGGTCATTGCTGTCTTCTCTGTTTCTCTCTAGCCTAAATCTGTTTTTAGCTAGAACTAACTATAATTAATAATCTTGGTTTTAGTTTTGAGTGAAATTTAAGGCAAAGATGAACTTTAAACTGGGTTTTCCTGACATAAGTTTATTGTAAACAATGTTAATCCTGTACTCCCTACATATAATGTATAAAGTTCGGATAAAGGTTGAGTTGAGTCATTAGTTTCAAGCCGGGTTTAAATCTCTCTTACTAATATGAGGTTGTATAGAAATACTACAATACTCCTTTTGTGTTCCGTCCCTATTTGATTATTTATGGTCTTTAACATACGTCTTAAACTCATAACATGAACACATACATAGTAAATAATTCCAACTCAGGGAGTAGTAATACTATATACTTTAACATGCTCTTTGTTACTTATAGTTTGAAATTAGTCAAAACCATCAACTTTTAAGAGTATTTCTTTTGAATTTTCTTTTAAGTGGCAATCTTATCTAAAAAGCAAAAAGACTCTTGAGGGTGAAGTATTCATACTCTTTCATTAGATACCAACTTTAGAAGTTTTAGATGTCCCACCATATCAATTTTCAACAAAATCTCATAATAAGTTCAAATCAAGCAATAAGTATGTGAAATGTTAAGTGTCTTTAAGTACAACTTAAGCATGTTTAATGTTTAGACAATGGTACTTGGAAGCAAAACAGAAAAAGTTCACATCACACAATATTTTAACAAGTCAAAAAAATAATTCCTAGAAGGCAAAAAGGTCACATAGTATGTATTATCGGCATGTCTTTTATAATACTACCTCCGTTACAGTTATGTGCAACGATTAGACATTTTCCCTCTCTGCTTTATGTCAAATCGTTGCATATAACCTGTAACGGAGGTAGTATTTAGGTTTTAAAACTAGTCGTATTTTTAATGTCTCACAATAGATTAAAACAATACTCGACTCATCCATAAGGTGCATATTTAATGTCGCAATTAAAACAACACTAGACTCATCCAAGACTGAGGAAACAATACCTTGTCAAAATCCACAGGAGGAGAAATAGGATCAGTAGGGCTGTCAAACATTTCAGGAGTAAGAGAAGAAGCAGAGAAACTTTGGCCTCCAATTCCATTTGGTGGCTCACTACATGAAGGCCTTCCTGATGTCATTGGTGACACTTCCTGCAACACACACAATGACACAAACATACAACATTCAAAAACTATACCATAAAAGCATATATACCCTTTAAATTTAAAACTATTAAAGTGAAAAAAGGGTAAAACAAATCTTCAAGTGTGTGAGCAAAATCAATTAGACCCCATGAAAAAACAGTCTTTTTCTGAATTAATTTCATGAAAAAGTCCAAATATAAATAAATGTAAACTTTGCATGAAAAATAGTCTTTTTTATGCAAAAGTTTGTTTGTTTGTTAAGCATTCTTAGAAAAATCCTACAAAAATGAATTAATTCTAACAACCCAAAAAATAAAAATGCAATTTGGCAATTTTGACAGAAAAAACTTACAGATTGAGACATGATGCGCTCAAGAACAAGCTGAGAAGTAGCAGAAGAAGCAAAAGAGAAAGAATTCCCAGAAATAAGCCTCTTTTGATCATCTTGTTCAGCAGGAAAAACTAGAGAATGATGTTCTTCTTCAAAGATAGGAGGGGTATTACAGGGAGCAACAGTTTTGGAGACTAAAGAAGGAAGAGAGAGAGAAAGAGCTTTTGAGAGTTGAAGAGCAGGTAAACTCCATGATCTTGACAGAAATTCCATCGGTAACCTTGGACTTTCTGGTAGCTTATTGTTATCATTGTTGTTGTAATTGGATTCTTTGGTCATTAGCATTGGGTTTGTATCCTCCATTTTTTCAGGGGATGCTTTTCTTAGGTTTCTCTCTGATTTGTTTTTCTTTCTTAAATATGGGTTTGTTTACTCTTTTATACTACTGTGGCCTTACCAGGGACTAGGGTGGTTACTTTTTCCCTTTCTTTTTTTATTTGTGCTGCTTATTTCTTTATGGGAGATTTTGCAATGGCCTTGGCTTCAAAACTTTACTAGAGTATTTTTTTTTTTTCTCAATGAAAATGAGTGACTTTATGGGAGGAAAAAACATATAAGAGGCGAGATGATATTATTTTATTAAAGAGATGAAAAAAAAAAACTCAATAAGTGTCTGTTTTGATTCACTAAACCGAGCTGAACTAAACTGAAATGATTGGAGCTGAGTTGAACTCATCTGAATAGAGCTGAAATGAATTGCTATAAAAGAAGGAAATTAGAAACTGAATTGAACTGAAATTAAGCTGAAGAGAACAAACACTAAGTATTGTTTAGATCAAGTAAATTCAGTTTGAGTTATAATTCAAATAATGAGGCCAATGAGGTTTTGACCTATTAGTTAAGACTAAAGGACATGTATACAATAGGTTACATGTTCAAATCTCTCGACCCTATTTGTAATTTGTATTGTCTTTGTGACTCATTCGACTTTATTTTACTTTTATGATAAATCAATCAATAGTATAAATGTGAAATTTCATGCTACATAAATTTGGATAAGAAATCTTCATTCAATCAAAATCAGTATTTCTTATTTCAAGTACAATTCAAATCTATTCAAATAATTTGGTGCAAGCCATTTTTCATAAGTCTACAATTTACCTTAACTTTTTTACCTTACTCAAAAACATATTTCTTATACTATTCCAATAACCTTAGGAGAAAGTGAGGGTAAAAAAGAAAATACTTGGTACTTTCTTGTTAAGAGTATCCTTTGTGAATGAACGTATCGCAATGACAACGGGGCTAGATATGGGGATGGGGTGTTTCGACACAATTGAGTTGGGGTTACAGTCAAAGGTGCATTAAGCTGATTACTGATGCCTTTGTTCAGCTCACTTTTAACAGTAAGCTTATGTCCTATGGACTATGGTGGTCCTCTTGTACTGCAAGTATAGACAAAATCCAATGTTCCTTAAGAATACTACACAATCATCCTCACTACCAAATTCTTGGATCTTTAAATACTGATTATTGGGGTCAAGTCATAATCAACTATCATGAACCCAATAAAGTACGGAATAGGGTTTTTGCAAAATCATTCTTGCGCACATTCGCATTCCATGGATAAGAGGCTTGCCTACTGATTTTTAAGAGTGCTAAGTTTGTAATAAAAGAAATTGTTCAGGTGCCATGTATGGTACATTTGGTGTTCGACTAAGGATAGTTTAATTGTAGTCCTAAGCAAGTCGTGGATATTTTAGTTTTTTCCGCTTAGGCTAACTATAAGGAATGTGTCCACTACGTGCTATTATCGAATAATAGTGAAACTTCTTTGAACCTTATTAAAAAAGAATAAAAAAAAAGTGTGATAAAGGAAACATATGCTAATTAATGCAAATGATTGGTTGATAATTTTAAGTTTACACACTTCCTAGAAGGTAGGTTTATAATTCTACGCAAATCTTGGAAGTGATTCCTACCTCACATCAATGAAAAAAAAATCCCATCACTGAATCTAGTTTCTAGTTGACGTAGACCACGTAGTCACACTTGAATTTCAAATCCAAATGACATTACAGCGATGAACCAAGAAAGTATACAAACATAACATTCCACAAGTAAACTGAATGGTATCAAAACTTAGAATGATCGTAAAAATGAATTGATGGGTGTCGCAACATCTACAGGAATTGGCAACATCGTAGACTGACAAAAGGACCTTTCCTTTTTGAAGGTCAGACCAAGCCAACATTGCCCCTTAATCTAAAACCATTTTGGGGTACTATTCAATTATAAAATAAAGGCTGAAATATAACTGAGAAGATGAACTTCAGCACAGAAGCGTGCCCTTTTGATACCTTTGCAGTTTGCAACTGTAAAACTTCATCATCTCCTACTCCACACAAAGTTAAGCCTCACTTGATGACAACAAGTATCAACAAAAATAGTTACGGAGTACTATTTACTTGTAACTCATCATACGGACACAATTTAAGGAAGAAATTATAAGGGGAAAATGAAATATTTAAAATAGCTTTACCACGGATTACCCTCTCTAATCTCCTTAACTAGCTACCCATGATATGTTACTCAAGCGCTTCATTTTACATCAAGTATCATTGTTATACATTCGACACTCTAACATGGATGGGACACTTGGCACTTCATTTTAGGTCAAAAACATGGAAAAACTTCACAAAATACCCATGTTAGACCCTTGGACACTTACCCGTGTAAGACATGAATACCTTAGCCAGAATATATAGATCCCATGTAATGAGTTGTATGTAATTAAAAAGAAATAATGAAATATATTTTAATGCCAAAAAATGCTTCTCTTTTATACATAAAAAATGTTGAAAAAATATCAAAGAGGGGGACCTTAATAAGTTGGGACTCCTGCAACAATTCAGAGGAAGAAAACCCTTTATTCCCTTTGCCTATACTGAGGAAAAGTTTAAATCATATTTCATTTTCATGAATGTGGTTGATCTCTTCAACAAGTCATCAGCCATGCAAATAGCTAGCTAACCAATAATTTCTCTACTTTACCCCCCTTTCCCCTGTTGTTTCCTCCCATTTACTTTGAAAAAACTTGGACTCGAGAAGATTCCCACTACATTTGTTTGGGGGAGAAACAGAATGTTATTAGCTAAATTAACACAGATCAATATTACTGAGTGGATGCAAGGATCAAGCCTAATCTAAAGTGTTATGTCATACTTGATTGTCCGAAAACGAAGAATCGGGAGAGTAATATTCTGGGTTGAAATTCGGAATGAATAACACCATACTGTATGATCATAATGGAGTATTCAAGTGTAACCCAGAAGGAAGGGCAGAGTAATGAATATAATCCACATTCATGATTAAACAACTAAGTGAAAAACTATGATCTACTAATTACCAATGATAAAACTACTAGTCCTACATAAAGTTGTGGCTGTAAAGGTGAAGAGAGAAAAATCCTAGCAAAGGTGGACAACAAACAGTCCACCTTAGAAAGTAAGATTTTAAAAGCTTGAGTTTGATCTTAAGTTTTAAAGATGGAACTCCCAGATGTCATCCGTGATACGTACTTTTCTTAAAGTGTTTGGGGGTGAAGCTGCCACATATATAACCCCCCCCCCCTTCCTCCTCTCTTTTTATGCAATGGGTCAATTAATTGGTGTACCTATAATAGCTATACTTCAGAAAATGAGTCTTATTAAGAAGGGCAATAACTAAAAGTGCAAAGTAAAAAAACAACAAGGATTTTGTTCACCTTTTTATTATTAATTTTCCTGATCTTAATCATATTCTCCCCCATTTCCACAATGATTTAGATCCGTACTCTAAAATGACGCTATCAAAACAAGTACTAAGACATGTTATAGGTCAAACTAATGAGAATATCTTAAAAGGGAAACTGTTTACACTTAGAAGTTTGAACATATGTAATTAGATTTAGCTCAACAAGAATTTTGTTACTATTTCAACAAACTACTGAACAATTTAATGAAAATTCCAGATCCATGATTGCTATTAAGTTCTATATTTAAAAGTCTATCCCACACTCCACCATAGTAAACCAAAACATTCAAAATCACTCTTCAAACATTGAATTCACTGAAATGATGAAACCAAAGGGCTTAAATCAAAGCTTAAAGTCGCATGCGAGAAAGATTCCATTACCTTGTCAGGATTTCATAGAGAAATGATCATGTTGTGATTGTAGGCAAAGCATGCGTCAATTTTATTCACCCTGCCAAAAATAAGAAATTTAAGAGCCTCCTCAATGCTAAAAAATTACATCTGAGGTGGTCTGAAATCATTTCATACATTACAGAAGTTCAAACGTCTTCTTCACAATAATTAACAAGAATTTCAAGTTCCATAACACTTTACAACAACAAATGCAAGATGATTTGGTCATTCAATAATCATCAGAATGAATGGACAAGGGAATAAATTATGACATAGACAAATGCCATTAATGTTGCTTCAAAGAGAATAATCCTTCTGCAGGTTAAAAATTTACAGCCCTAAATCAATCTACAGGAAATTAGATAGCTACCTTTCTAGGAAGCTTCATGTGGTTTGGTCGAGACTAGAGAGTAGATGTACAGTAAAACTGCAACATTCTTCAGTAAAGAACTTTGTCAATTGAACTTATACATGGATAGCAGAATCCTCAAATAAGATAGAATTCCTCTGCAGATGCTTCCTCAACACCAGAGCAAGTAGAGCAACCACAACAAGAATACAATGCATATGGCAGTCAAATGCAATCTCACTACTTCGCGACCCTCATCTGTTTGATTGTAAGCCACTACCACCATAGTATTGCTTGGTTGTTTCGCGGGAGAATTCAGCAAATGTCATCCCATCCTTTAGCCGTGCAGAGAGTGGGGGGATGATTCTGTGAATCTCTTGTGTAAGTTTCTCAAGCTCTCCTTCGCCTTGAGGTTGAGGCCTCTCCCCATGATTCCCCTTCTGATTATTTAATGTTAGCTGCTCCACTGGATAATCTGAAATATCAAAAACCTTATTCCACGCAGGATGCAAAAAAACAACAAAAGTTTCCCTGCTCAAGTTTTCTAGCTCTACTGGCCGTGATACTGAGTGAAGAGTTGCCTGGAGCTTATGTCTTGACAAAATATCAGCTGATTCCCCCACCTGAAGAATGAAACTCTCAGGAGGAGCCTTTATAGCACAAATACTGTTCTTTTTTGGATGAAATATCTGCATATAAGTATTCCCACTGGGTGACGAGAATTCTAACCCACTGAATTTCTTGCAATCATCGTCCCCTTTTTCTGTGTGGCAGCGTTTTAGTTTGATGAACTTTGGACTAGTAAGAACAGTGAAGGTACCATAGTCATAGTGCCACTGTTGCCAAAGATCAGAGTGTTTCTTGCATGCCCTTCTATCACCATCTCTATGCATTTCCTCACTCCTACACAACCTCTTTTCATCCTTGAAATGAATGCTCTTTGGTACAGATTTTTGTTGTCCTTTCACAGACCCCTGGCTTCTCCCAGATTCTTTGATTATACAAGTATCCAGAAAAGAGTGATAGTGAATGAGACGACCCTTTGCTGTCCCTGACTCTACCAAGCTATTCTCCAATGTCTTCCCACCAATTGCCTTATCACAAATCCGTGCTACACGAAGTCCCAGGTCCATCATACATAACCCAAGTTCCCTAAAGCTACAACCAAGATCCTTGAAGTGATCATTCATTGATTTGACATACTCATCAGCATCAATATTTTCTTCACCCACATTGTGCTTCTGGAGGCCCTCAGAACATACATGGCTCAACTTACTCATATCCAATTTATGCCCATATTTCAGCTGCATAGCAAATGATGAGACACATCTATCCAAATTCTTCAATGGAACATCGCTCCCTAAGCCATGATCCTGCCATTTCTCTTTAATTACAAGTCAACAGTACAGTATGGGAGACAGGTATGAAAAACATCTAGAAGACAACTGCTGAAAAGATCAAGGCAATTATTAAGTACATGTTATAGTGTTGTATACAAGGAACGGTAAACCATCTTGGAGACTGGAGAGTGGACAAAATAATACATTCTAATGGGTTTATATCCAAAAATACAATATCCTTATTATTCAATAAAATTCTAATATCACTCCAAATTTCTCCGGTATATGGGATGTGCCACTGCCTATCATCCCTCAAGGCTCAGGTTGTACAAGACACTCCTAAGTATGTTTTTCCAAAATTAACAAATGAAGAAACTCGCTAAAAAAATCTAATAAAGAAGCCATTAAGCAATACATAAAGCAGTATGACTTAATGAGTAAAGGGTCTGCAAAAATTGCGATATTTTCACATGTCATTGCGAGGAGCTCCCATATATCTCAAATTCTCAACCAAAGTTATGTTTAACAGTGCATCATAGCACACCAATTCCAACCTCGTTAAGAACAACTGACCAATAGATATCTCATATCTTTTGCCATTTTGGGCACCATCATGCCATTTCCTTAGCATTGTTCATTCAACACTAGACAAACATCTTTGACACCTACTATCAGCATTTCTCAATATATTTCAACATGACCAATCAAAATTCCTGAAGAAATAAATTAATCAATAGCTAAAATTTCACTGACATACTATCAATTTTATCATTCAAAATTATCCTATAACTTAATTTCCAGATTAAATCAATCAACATCTTAAATTCCAATGCCATAACTATCAATCTTACCAATCAACAATTCCCCATTCCCCATAACATCAATACCTATCAACATTTCTCCATAAATATGAAGTTATCCAAGGTCAATTATCACTTAATTCCTGCCATTTCTAACAGCTTAAATTTGGAATTTCATCAATATTTCTCGAGTATCCTCTACCACACGATTCGCAAAATTCATAATTTTCATCAGCAATTATGACAATTTAAACACTCCAAAAAAGAACAATTATGCTCTTCCAAATTAAAAACCTTTTTACCAATTAAATGATTAAAATCATTCACTATATACAATTAATCACAATAAATCAATCAGAACAAGTCTCATCATTCATAATTCACACTAATTTCAGCAAAATTGCAAATAAATGATAACAACTTTTAAAATTAATAAATAAGACCTTGAGAATGCGATTGCGATGACGATGATGAAGGAAGGAGAGATCTCGTGCGCGAGGGAGCAGGTAATTGCGGAGTTCCGCAACATTTGGAACTCCTGTAATGGTGAGAAGACCTGGACCAGTGGGCCCTAGGGCTTCCATTACTGCTCTCGTGACTGATTCAAACTGTTCGATTTCAATCGATGATGAAGATGAAGATGAAAGTTTGAGAAGATCAGAGTAATGGAGTTGGTAGGGTTCTAGAACTTCTATCTTCTTATCCTCCATTGAAGTCTCTGCAAATTCTTCTTTCTCTCTCCTAAAGTTGACGTTTTCAGAAATTTGAATTTTAGGGTTCTTAATAAGATTCAAAGTCAATTAAGCATTTCCCGCTATAAGTAAAAGCTTTCCCGTAAAAAAAAAATAAAGGGTTAATTTTAGGGTTCTTTTTAGGTAGTAGATTTTTGAATGTTGTGATTATTAGAAATTTAATAGCTAGAGAAGTGATGGGGCCACTCGTGTTTTAAAATATAATCTAATTGTTAAATTAGTTTTTATGTCATGGTAATTAAATTGTTCATAAATTTACTCATTGATTGTTATGTATGATTAATGACTACAGAGTAAAAGAGTGATTATAAGGTGTTTCCGTCATGTGTGTAGTTGTAGACATGTAGGAGTACTTAGCATACAATAGCATAGCGTTTACTATATCGTATTAGTATTTCCTCAACCATGACGACCAACCTAGCATACTCAGTATGATTTAGAAGAAACGGTGCCCTATCTTGTGCTTTAGTATCAAGTTTATGCAAAAAATTTACATGCAAAATCCAAACAATTGTATTACATTTGAGATTGAGAGACATGTAAAACTCGCATAATCTACATTCCACTCTTCCAGAAACCTCTTTCCATTCTAGAAGCATCTCTTTCTCAAGGAGACGAGGAAGAAAAAACTGATACTAACATACCATTACGGCATTACTCTCCGGAAAATTCACATCTTAGAACCCATATCCTTAAAAGAACTAACTTGTTAGAATCACATTACTACATTATACAAGTGCATGTAGCACCTGCAATGGTTATCTCGGGGATTAACAAAATTAGAAACGGCTGCAACTCTAAACTACAGCTTCAAGCCTCCTTAACAAATCAAAAATCCCATCCAAGGATTTTGATCCTAGGGCCTAGATTCACTAGTTCACACAATTTTAAACTAACATTGCTAGCCAATATACAAGGGACTAGTTGTGGAAGAAAGTTAGTACCATAGCTAGGTTCCAGTCTCTTTGATGCTTTTAGCTAACCATATAGCAGTTTCTCTTGGAGATACTTTTTCAGGACCGAACGGCTTCAGGAGTACACTAAGCTCATCATGTCTTCCCTGCTGTAATAGTCGGGCACTAAACTCAAGCAAACCTTCTAATGCTTCAGCACGTTGTTGATATGAGGTGGTATCAAACCGCCGTTGCCTAGAGTCTGATGATGATTTGCTGGATAAACCACTGACTTGATTATGCTCTGAAATTTCATTGGCCATACTTGGCTTGTCCAAGGCTCTGTCTATGATCTGGACTGTACACTTGTCCTTCATCATTGAGCGATCAGCGGCCTTTGGGGAGGTGGAAGAGCACTGAGCAGAAGTTGATGAGGTTCTATTTACAGGGTAAAGTGGGCTCTCAGAAGATGCTAATGGGAACTCGGCCATCTTGTCAATACGTGGGGCATTGACAGATACATCAGGAGACTCAACACCGTGAAGAAATCCTGTCTTGGATTTATATTGAGTCTCATAGTCTGCTGCCTTGTTGCTTGAGACTGAAAGCGGCGGGGAAACTCTACGTGTTGATCTCGAATAATTGGTCGTCGGAGTATGCGACATGGGAAGCTGCACATTTAAGAATTCAAAGCTTAGAGTTTAATGGTGCCAAATACATACTAGCAAGAGAAACACGTACTAACACGGCCCATCAGAAAGATTTTATCAGGGGGAAATGATATCAATGTACAACCCCCTAGTTCTTTCATCCCAATTCTAAAGGACAACCATTGATCGGTTGAATTTTTCTATAACTTCAATTGAATTGAAATTCCACAAGCATCTTTCTCCATGCAAGTTTTTCAGCTCACTTTATATTTAAAATTTTAGAATTACGTATCTTTGTATGGGCAACATAAAATTCACTTGAGAAATTTTAGATAAGTGGTCTATTGTTATGGCATGTCCCAAAACAAAGATGTGGCCTATTAAACTGAATAGTAATGGCTTAAATGAACTTACAGATGAACGACTGGATGCATTTGTGGACATCTTAGAGGGTGTTGACAACCTCCTGAAGGCAGAAGAACCTTTTGAAGGCGTTGAGAACCTAGGGGTTTTTGCCACAGTAGACGCTTTGCCAACTATTGGCTTATCAACACCTATCTCCTTGTGTGAGCTACCAATGGACATTTCCTCCAGCTTTCGATTCATATAAGTAGAAAATTCCTGTTGCTGTCTGATAGAATACGGGGAGTCTGGTTCAGCTCCAGAAATGCTGGGATTCTGGGTTCGGTCATTACTGTATGACAATCTTCTGTTCTGTCTGTCAACACGCTTTGGAATCTCTTCCGCTTCGAGAAATCTGGTTTTCCTTGGATTGTCATAATAGGATGTTGGTAAGGTGTTTCTTCTGAGGCTCCCAAACTTTAGATTTATTTTGAAAACGTATGGCTGAAGATGAGGATGCCTGAGCAGTTCAGTAGCCTGAAACAGTGAAGCCAAACCATATCCACATCAAATAATTATAGCCAATGTGCTGATAGGGGGGAAAAAAAGCTGTAATCAGAGTATTGATTGAAATTCAGATGCAAGGACATAAATTGTTTCAACTTGTAATTTAAATGATTGCAAGACCTATGTAGCTAAAATAATTTCACAGTTTTACATGTAAAAATTCATTTTTGCTGATGAAGTGATATTTATTGAATAAAGTATAGAACCTGAATTTTTTTTTTTCTCAATTCACTAACATATTTCTGAAATGAAGTTACTGATTTTAATCAACTTTATTTTCACCTAAAGCTTACTGAGCCATAGTGAGAAGTACTCCCTCCGTTTGTAAATACTTGCTCCATTTCTCTTGGACATGCATGTCGATGCTAATCTTTGATCACTAATATCTTTAATTATCAATAAGTATAAATTCCAACAATTGAAAATTAATAATCTATTCATTGAGATGATTTCAACAAGTACCCACAAGACTATATTTTTTCTTATGTATAAATCACAAACATTAGTCAAAGTAGGACAAATGAATAGTGCAAAAAATAGAAATGGAGCAAGTATTTAAAAACGGAGGGAGTATATTATTAGAGCAAAGTGGCATGCAGCAATGTAAGTATGAAACTAAAAAAGAAGAGAATTCATACACTGGGCCGAAGTTCAGGGTTTTTCCTCAGCATCGTCTTAACAAGACCCCTACTGCAAAATGAGATGATACAGTGAAATGAGAAAAACCATAGCTAAATATACCTTACACAGCCAAAAACAAAAATTAAAAAAAAAAAGGAACAAAGGCAAGCCCTTAAGCAAATATTTCCTACTGTACAAGTGTGCAACTCATAACACACATGAAAGTTTTCACATACTGCAAAAAAAGCACTTACAATCGACCAGAATACATAGTCGGAAGCGGGGAAACAATCGACCTATTTATTTTGTTAATCAGTGCTTGCATGTCCTGCACAACAAGATTAAAACAAATTTACTCAAAAATATTAAGTGCAGAACCACAAATGCAAGAGAACAAATACACAAATGGAAAAAACTTCATAAAAATGTCTAGGTGAGATAACACCTAAAGAAGGTTTTATATATTTATAACATAGACTCTAAATGAATCTTTCAGAGGCGCAAATATGATGCCATCCAAAACTACATAAATCAGTGCTGGAAAATGGATACAAGCAACTTACAAAGGCCTTAAATGCGGGTCTCAAAGCAGCCATTTCATAGATACAGCAGCCTGAAAATGACACATGACAAATTGCGATCACCCAACAAATAGGAGGGAATAGAAAAATCGAAGTGTCAGGTAGGCTTTAACAGATTAACAGACCTAATGACCAGATGTCAGACTTTGAGCCATAAGGTATATCAGCGAGAAGCTCAGGACACATATAGCTAGGAGTTCCAACCACCTAAAATTGAAACAGGTAAACCAAGGAGTCAGACACATTTAAAACATTAAATTCTCGAGTTACCAATCGATAAAAAAACTACTTACAGACGAAGCAAGATCATCTGAAGTTAACAGTTTAGCTAGACCAAAATCACCTGCGTGCATCAGTTTAAATGTTAATATATATAGCATTAATACATGTTATAATACAAGAGTTGATTTAGACACAATCTTACCAAGACGAATGTCTTGCTCTTTCGTCAAAAATATATTTGACAACTGTGGCAAGAAAAGAACAAGGATCATGTGAGAAGACCTATAATTATGACAGACACATGGCTTAGATCTAGGCAAAAAAAAAAAAAAAGCCTGCCTCACCTTAACATCTCGATGCAGAATATGGTGCATATGCAAGTAATCAAGCGCCATTAGAAGCTGAACCAGCCACTTGCAAAGTTTCTACAAGAGCTCAATATTTTAAGATAAAATAAGTAGCCACATAAATAAGATCAAGTCTGGAAAATTTTAAGTGATGATCAAAGCAGAAGAAACTTAAACTGTAGCTAACTACTTAGTACTTACCTCTTCAGAGAAATGAGTGCAGTTAGCTTTCTTAAGGGCACCTGCCCTACAAGCACAGCAAGACAAAAACCACAGATTACAAACTGAACGCCAACAGGCAAACAATTTAACAGCAGTGCAGCACAGGCACGTATAAAAGAAAAGCAGGATAACTTACATGTCACCTCCTTCACAATAACCAATAATAATGCAGACATAGCAACCCTGTGATCAAGCATAGAAAAATTATCAGAATTACTACGAGTATACACAACATGAACAACTATAGCACAAAACCCTGTGATAAGAAAGACGGAGCTGGCTTTCTCTCACATTATACAGTAAGGTGGCACTTCTGCACTAAATGTACTTATCATGCCACGTTAGCACTTCAATAACAATTAAGTTTTCAGTGCCAAAATGCAGATGGTAGTTACAAGTTACAATCCCAGAAGCAAATTAGAATAGAATTTCAAGAAATAGTCAGACAATGTTCTAGCCAATTCAACAGCCATTATCCAATGGATACCATAGAAAATTGAGAGAATTATAAATACAATATGGTTTAGGCATGAAAATGATTGATATACTTAAGAGACCTTTTATAAAGCTATCAAAAAGGGAACTACTTACCCTCTCCACCCATGAATCTTTATACTCCACGATGAATGGATTCCTTATTTTAGAAATCAGCTCCATCTGCATATCATAAGACACATAACATACTAGTCATTAGGGAGAAAGTGAATAGCCTGTTTTCAGGAACAATCAAGGGGATTATACAATACTCCAAATTTTATTGAAAAAGAAGCCACTTGTCCCATTCACTCAATGAAGCCATGGAATATTGTCAATAGCCGCACTTCATAATCCATACGTAATGAAAATAGACTAACATCTTTATACTGCACCTATTCGTCATATTTTAACTCTGGCATGAAAGCTTTAAATTATGCCTGAATAATATATCTGATCAGTAGTCTGAAAAATGCACATCTAGAACTGACCTCTTGATGGGCAGACCTGCGAGTTCTGTCAGTCTGACGAGCAAGTCGGATCTTCTTCAGGACATACCTAGGAAGAGTATGGCCATAAGATTAAGATAATAGCCAAAATAGGCCATAGACCTTGCATCACTAGAAACTTAAAACTGAATATTCAAAGCACATAGTAAAGGAATGCACTCACTTCTTTTTCTCGAGTTTGTGTCGCACAAGAAGGGCTGAACCAAAGGCACCCTTGCCGATTTGTTCTAGTACCTCATACTGATCCATTTCTACCACCGGTAACTCTTAAGTTCAGACAACTTCAGGAACAAATTCTAATCCTACAATATAAAACAAGCCAACATAAATTACATTCCCTGGAATCATAAAGATGAAAAGTAAAGAGCAAGGCGGCAAGAATTCAAAAGGCAGTTGCACAGTTTCGGATTTGACTGTTATTAACAGCCTTTAAATCAAATAATCAATAACATTAGCATTCTATAAATGATTCCTATTGCATCTAAGCTTAGACCTGCAGCAACTATCACATACATGACACATATTACTAAACATTACTGGTAACAAAGAGGCCAGAACACTCCCAAACTTAATTACTAGAATTCTTAACACCAACAGTCAGCCTCGAACTTGTTTGACAAGCAGTTGCATGGATATAAATAAATAAAAATTATAGCATCCCTTGTCACAAGAGTTTTTAGCAGGTACTGTAGAAAGCTAAGTGAAATCTTTCATACCAACAAAGTGAAGTAAAAGAGAAACAATTTCTTAATTTCAGGCTCTTTAATAAGCCTCCCAGAAGTGCTAAAGTTCAAACTAAAACAGGATATGAAAGTGACTAATCCTCTTAATATACCACATTAATGCATAATACAAAGTTTCAATTAGTCATAAATCATAACATTGGCTAAAACCCTAGCACAAAATTAGCTAACAAAAAAACTCACTAAAATCAATAAAATGTGCTTTCAACAATTGGGTTTCTACAACACATGCTAAACAAGCATTATTGAGTTATTCACCCACATAAAAATAAAAATATAAAATCACCCTTTTCCATCTTACTAAGCAACTTAAACCCATCTTCTTCAATTAAAAGAAAGTAATAAATACAATTTTCCCTCAAATTTTGGGTTTCTATTACCAGAAATATACTCAAAGCCAAAATTAATAAAGTACCCATTAAACATTTTAACACAAGAAACAAAACCCAGACCCCAAAACCCCAAAAAAAAAAAAAAGTTAAAAAATCCACTTAAACCCCAAAACTTCATAAACCCAGAAATTAACCAGGAAAACTAAACTGCATTGCATACAATTTTAGCAATAAAACCAAAAAAAACCAAAACTTTAGAAAATAAAAAATAGGTAGAGAAGAGTACCTGAAAATGGAGCATTCTTGGCTAAAACAGATCTCTTAGTTCTCTTCTTTTTCCCGCTCTTCAACAAGTATAAATGAGAAAGAGATAAAAATTGAACCAGAAAATTTATTTAAAATAAACAAAGTGACAAAAAAAAAGTTATAGAAATTAGAAATTCAAACTTCAAAAAAAAGAAAAAGAGAAGAAGTGAAAAAATGGGGGAGTCAAAAGAGAGAGTGGGGAAGAAGAGAAGAAGAGAATCCTGAAAAAGACAGGAGAAGAAGTAAAGCAATATATAATTAAAAAAAATAAAAATTAAAAATACTGTTGGAAAATGGGAAGATCCCCGTGCTTTGGAGGTTAACTAATCAATTTATGCCACGTGATTTGATTAATTGCTAAATTAATTTATTACTAATAGTAGTTAGTGTTTAATTGCTAATAAATGTTTTAAAGTATTTGGGAATTTATATATGAGCACTTTCAAGGAGGTTAGAGGATAATATAAAACTTAGGATAAAATTCCATGCTTTGTCGGTAGCTTAGCACTTGGAATGGTGGTGGGTAATGAGGAAATTTTAAGGTTTTTTAAGTTAAAAAGATACTTTTGTGTTAAGAAGTTAGGAAGATGGTATCTTTATGTTGTGATGTTGTATGTTTATGTGATGATATGATTGTATGTGTATGTAGTTGGCTTAATTTGACTAAGGAATAAGGATAGATGTTTGCACCTTGGAAAGTTGATTAACTGACTACATTTGATTGATTATTGATTAGTAGAAATAACTATATGATAGTTGGTCTTGGGTAAGGGTGGCGATTCAGGTTAGCAAGTTGGGTTCAGGTCATATGCTTAAAAATATCAAAAATGTTGCGTTCAGGTCAAGTTGGGTTCAGGTCAAATTGGGTTAATTTCGAATTATGCTTAAAAATATCAGAAACAATATAAAACTTTTTTTTTTAATAGCAAAAATATTTCATTAATTAAAAGTCATACGACATCTACAATAGAGATTCGACGTTAACAAATCCATAAGATATTGAATCAAATAGAATTTTCCTTCATAAAAACTACGATCGTCGAGTAGATCTTGTACTGCGGAACATCTCCCGCTTATATCGCTGAAAATTACAGCCTTGTTGGAGAGACAATCTAACGATCCTTTGTAGTCGTGAGGATGTTTTCCTTCTGATTCATCTGTTCGTATTCGAAAACTTGATAACTTTTTCACCAACGAAATAATTTCACGACAATCCATTAGATCTGCTACCATTGATTTAAAACTAAGAGATTTCTCCATCGAAAAGAGGAGATAAACCTTGTCTTTCGAAGGAGGTTGAAAAACCCTTGTCTTTCGAAGGAGATCGGAAACCCTTTCTTTCTAGGGAGAAAAGTTCCTCCCAAAAGGAGGAAGCATTAGTATAAACCTAAAAAAAACAATAAAGAAACAAGGATGGGGGCTTTCCACCGATTAAAATCGATGGAAGCCCCTTCAAAATTCAACAATGGAGGTTAGGGTTTTGGAGAAAGAAAGGAGGAAAAAAGAGGAGAGAGATATTTTAGTATATATGTTGACATCAAAACTTAAAACAGTATAAAACTTAATTAATATTATTACGAAATATGAAATTTGAGTCAAATCAGGTCAAATTTGTTGGATCAGGTTCAATTTGGGTCAGGTTTGGGCTTCTCTCAATAACTTCAAATTAGGGTATGGAGTAGGGTCAAGGATTGCTAGCCCTGATCTTGAATCTCGCCCATGTATGGTAGTTTTAAAAAGAGTCAACAATTATCCCTGTGCATGTAAAAATGAGTAATGAATTTTGTCAAATGAAAAATTGTACATATGTAGTATTTGTACGTTCTAAGAGCAATAATACATGAATGAAGATTTAACGACTATGGATATTTACCGGCCAAAATCTAAATTCAACAAACTTTATGTAATAGTGTGCATGGAGTTAGTTGGGGATAAACACGATTGAGCTAAAGTGATAAGGTTTAAGGTGTTATTTTTCTTCTTAGCTGGTACCAATTACGTCCTAGTACACACTTGCTCTTTTTTTGAAAGAGAGAGTATGTATGTTCTCTTCAATTTATTTTCAGTTCACTTTAATTCTTAATTTCTTTTTCTCATAAAATATTATGTTCACTTCAATTCAGTCAATTAAAACAAACCCTAACTTAGAAAGAAAAGTCAGCAAACGATGATAAGCAAAATAAGTATGGGTTTACTATGTTCATGCATGCTTTTCCATTTGAAAACTATTGTAATTTTTTCGTAAATACTATTAAGGTGGTTGGACACTTTTTCATAAGCTTTATGTATTTTATTTTTTCAAGTACTAAAAATAATTGAGGTGCGTCACATAATAATAAAATGAGGAAAAGACATTAAGCACTCGTGCACTGTATTATTGTTTCATTGTTTGTATGTATATATGTAATGACTAATGAAAAACTAAAACACTTGTTGAATTTTATAAGATGTGGACACAATTCATGCAAGTAGTAGATAATCAAATATTAAAACCCTAAGGCATTTGGTATCCTTTTAACTTTGAAGTAGACACTTAAGCTACTCAGACAATATCAGATTTGATTATGACAAATTAAGGATGATCCAGTTTGTAATACAATATTTTCAAAAAATTAATTAATTAATACAGAATAGTAGATCGAAATATTTAGTCCTTAATTATTATTATTCTACATATACTTTGTGAGATAATTTTTTCGAAAAAATTGCTAATTTTTGAATCCATATTCTAGTCGTTAGGGAGTGTTTGTGTTGATTACCCATACAATAGCTAGGTGAGTGTTGAGTAGCAAGGTAAGTGTTGATTTACTAAAGTGAACTGAACTGTTTATGAGAGAACGAAATTAGGAGTTGAAGTGAACTGAACTGAAAAGAACTAAAATTAAGCTGAAAAGAACCGGCCCTAAGTGGTCCATGTGGATAAGGGTAAGGGAATTCTTACCCTCAAAATGCTCCTTTATATTATCATGATATGATTTCAGTAATCTTTCTACCTAATCAAGTACTCGTATATGGTCTCAGAGTAAGCTTCAACGAACATTCATTGACATTTTACGGATAAAATTATTAGTTTGACAAGCAAGTTACAACCCAACATGTTTTAGAAAGGTTAAATTTAAACGCACCGCTTGATAGTGCATTTTATGTATATATAAAATTGAAAACAAAATAAATAAAAAATAATAATAATAATAATAATAATAATAATAATAATAATAATAAAAAAAATAATAAAAAAAAAATCATTTATGGTTGTATTTGAATTATGCACCTAAATAATCAAGTTGACTGAATTGAATATCATGTACACAAAGTACAAGTACTTAAAAGTTAATTAAGGTCCCGATAATATATCCTCCACAACTACTCACAATATTCGAATTAGTACATGCTTAATTATGATATTATGTCAACCTCATACCAACGCTAGGGCAACTTCTACTAGTGTCCACTATTTTCTTCAAACACCATAATCCCATGAACAGATGAACAACATCATGGTAATAAATGATCAACAAAGAAATATCATGCAAATTAATAAAATGGGGTAAGATGTCTTTATCCAATTTGAGACATAATAATAGTACGTAAATATATTCAACCATATTGATTCTTGTGTGCCAAAAAATAGTATACTAGCTATTTTAGGTGCCCAAAATCATTTGAAAAACAAACAACTCTATCTAAGTATATTGTAATTCTAAGATATAAGGTGAGTTACATTATTAGCTCATCTGAATGTCCGATCCTATCCTATCTAAAATGTAATAGAAGTAAGCGGTATCAAATTTATACCCTCTGGACTAGGAAATATATAAGATATATAAGGGTGAATGCTCGATCTCCTTAGAGGACCAAGGGATTGATCATTGAGACATATCGCCATATATAGGCATGCTCTATCCAAAATTAAGGAGTAGCTATTACTACCTCCGTTAACTTTTAGTTGTAACTTTGGGGTATTATTTGTGAGATATAAAATATTGCAAAGTTACAACTATAAGTTAACGAAGGTAGTATTTAGCTATCCCTTGGCCAAGCACAAATTTCTCCGATTGACGGCAGGTGAACATACAAAGGAAGATGCATGGAAAATTAGAATAGTCCCTTAAAGATGGGACATTGTAAAGGAAGGTTATTTGGGTATCTCAATTATCTAGCTAGGGTTGGTGCCACACGGTTGGATGTTTAATTAATTACTATTTAAAGAATTAATAATTTCAGCTACTAATATTAATAGTACTATAATAATCTAGTAGTAATATTAATGGTTGGTATATTGTCATACTGTGAAAGGAATTTCCAATCTTTTCAATCAACATGCTTTTCGCCTTGATTATGGATATAGGCACACCACACATTTGAGAGTCACCATCCGTCGATTACGCCAACTTATTAATCAAATCTAATGATAATATTTGGAAGGTAGGAAGATTAGATTTTTGAAATGATAATATATTGGTTGTCAATAATTTTAGGGAAATTGGAGTTTTTGATTGACTATCGATCAATTATATATGCTAGACTTTTCGGTTTTCACTAATCACTAATGTTGATGTGGTTAATGAGTTTTCAAATAATCATATAATATTATATTTTAATCTTGATTTTATTTGTAGGTAATCTTGTTGCTTGTTCTATTCCTGTGTGTTTATCTTACCTAAAATGTTGTCTTGATCACCAAAAAAAAAAAAAAAAAAAAAAAGACAAACTTCGTCTTTAATTTTCACCATTATTAACATTCATCCTAGACCTGATCGCATAGCATTTAATTCTTAAATGAACCTGGTTCGCACTAATTTATCATGGACCACTAAAATTAGAGAAATTATAGTTGTTTTATTAATAAAAAAAAAGTCACTATAATAAAAATAAGGTCACTATGTGTTGAAATAAAAGTCATTTTGATAATATACATGTTATTTGATAAATATTTTATATACCAGTCAATATGA